CAGTCAAAACTGGAGGAAGCTAAGATAGCTGGAGTAACTATTACTATTTCTTTTTGTTGATTTTTTGATGAATCATCTCCTTGAATTCTGACAAGAATTTGCTTTGTCTTGGATTGTTCCCCATAGTTAAACATAGCCTGTGCTCGCCTGATGAACAAGAAGCAAAAAAAGTTACAAGGCAGTGAACGGCTAGAATAAAAAAATACGAACTGATGCTACAGACACAAAACAATCTACAGGCACATTGGCTCACTTTTCATCTGCACTGTCAGTCTGTTCTCTCTTCTCAAAGGTACAGTTTCCATGCGACTTTGTCTGGAAGAAAAGTCAAACAATAAAAGTCATTCAACTTTGTCCAAGTAACTGATGACATTACTCTAAAACCCAATTAGATGGGCAACAGAGTTGCAAGCTTCCATTTTTTTTTTTTTTTTACAGTCACAGTGGAATTAAGCACCGTGGAGACAAACAAGAACTTCTTTACTGCAACATTCATTCTCAATAAATTTAAGTCTGTGGCCTAAAAGGAACTTATCAAGTAACAGCAACAGCTGACCAGCAAATTGGCCTACAGAAAACGATAAACTTTCATTTAGAGAAAGAAAACACAAATAGTTAGCAGTGACATCATTTCCAAAAACCCATGCACAACGCCATTGTTCCAGAGTCCCTCTGGATAACGATGAGTGTGTTACTTTTAGCACCAGTTCTTTGGTTCAAACTGTAACAAGATATTTAAGATAACTTTTGCACACAACGCTTTAAAATAATCTTACTGAATGGTTAAGATATGCTATCATACCTGCTTCACATAACCAGATGATTCAAATGTAGCAATCTCATCACTTGTGAGCCCAGTCTCACTATGGCAAGGGATTTGCCTACCTTCCTTCACCTACTGTGTCATTGCTTCACCCTCACCAGGTAGCAGAGCTCCTCCAAAGCTTTTGATAAAGGACAGAAATTAATACACACGAATGAACAGAAGATTTGTCATGGTGACTCAGATGCCTCAGATTCACTTTGGTCGATATGCAATTACAGAATGAACGCGTGTCAATGTAGTAATGTTCTGTAGGTCTGGCGAAAGACCCTCTCAGGACTGCAAAAAAAGGTAGATGGTCATAAGAGGGAATTTGGAGATATAGTGTCCAAACTCGTACAGTGATGTTTGAGAGTCAAAGTTTGGACATTATTTTTTATTAGTTTTAGGACATTAGTGTCCGAGGTTTCTTAAACTGGCCCATTTTGATACGAGTACTCCCTCAGTTGAAACAAATGCAAATTAGCTACCTTCTAACAACTTTTTGAACATTTGTCTTTCAGGAGTCCGCTGTTCTTTTTAATTGTAGAACAGCAAACTTGTTACCGAGTAAAGGAGGTAAGATTCAAAAGAAATGGTGGTGCTACATCGGTGGGAGAGTACAACAGGGTAATTAAGTATTATCAACTGAGCTGATAACGTAAATTGGCCACCGTAAAGAGTTCAAAAGCCGACGTTTCGAGCATTAGTCCTTCTTCCGCTCAAAACGTCAACTTTAAAACTCTTGACCTTGGCCAAATTTTACGTTGCCATCTCAGATGATAATACTAAATTACCTAGTTACTGAATAAACTGGTCCGGTTTCAAATTACGTCATAATCTACCGGTACGTTCAGTTTATTTGCCAGAAATGAAAGTTTTATTGTTTTGCACAGGACAAAATTCACAAGTTCATGATGTCAGTTGCACTATCTGTGATTGTGATGATATTTAATGTCTTGAATGCCTGTGTCTTGCATCAGTGAAAGAGGCCAAATGTCACCATTGCCTCCCTCTTTATCTTTGTCTAAATTGGCACGAAAACAAATGAATTCAATGTTCTTTTAAACCCTTAACACCCTATCATCAGTATGTATATCCTCCATACTGTTCTCTACTCTTTATAAGGTACTGACAAGAAGAATTTGTTCAACAATCAAGGGCTCCTTTAGTTGGTGATCATTTCCTTTACTTTGGTGACTTTAATGTTGGACTCAGGGGTGACATTGGAAGGAGAAATCAGATGCTATTAACCCTTAGTTGTCGGGGGTTAATATCCATTTGATCCAGTTCTTAGCATGTGATTTGGGGCTTGTGCATACCAGTGCAATGTATTAGGGCGAGTGAATCTTGTTCAGGAAGCACCTACCATTCCAACAAGCCTTCGTCATTGATCCACCAAGGGTAACATCAGTGCTGTTGAAACAGAACTCATAACAAGAACTCTTCATGTACTTACCTTTTCTTTTTATGGCGACTTTTTCTTCATTTCTTTTTACTAGATTTCTTGTGTTTCTTTTTCTTTTCTCCTTCTTACTGCCGTCCTCTTCACTTTCACTTTTACCTACACAATAATGTTCCCAAAATGTTAACAAATCTTCATATACATGTACATCAACCTACAGAAATTATTGTACGTACAGCATCCAGCAATCAAACAGCATTCCTTATGAGGTCCAAGATGGCTTTATTGATCATTTATTAGTGAGTAGACTTAACCCTTTAACTCCCAGAAGTGATTAGGATGTACACTGTAAGTTCTCCCTATAATATCCATACATTACCTGCACACAGGTAATATGAATACTCAAACTAATCTGGTGGAAGTTGTTATCTTGATCCAACACCAAATTCTCATAACTAATTTACAGGGAGATGTGTTGCAGCTAGAGGCGAGAATTAACAATCAGATCTTGGGACTTAAAGGGTTGAGGGCATCCACTTGCAAGGTTGAGGGTAAATCTGCTACCTGAAGATGGCAGACGAGACAGCCCTTTTGGCTTGCTAACACAGTAGCTCTAATTGACAGCACTGAATGTTATGCGTTGCATCTTAACTTAAAATATTTCAATCTAATTCAGTAAATGTTATTTAACCCTTTACACCCTAACATCAGTGTACACATTCTCCATACTCTTTCTCTATACATTTCCTAAGGTGCCAACAAAGAGAATTTATCTAACAATCAAGAGCTTCTTTAGTTGTTGATCACTTTCTTTATTCTTTTGACTTTAATGTCTGATTCAGTGGTGATAATCTGAGGAGAAATTAGATGCTAGTCACTCTTAAGGGTCAAAGGGTTAGTTTGGAAAGAGAATCATAGAAAAAATCTACCATGTCTGGTTCTTTTTGTTCCCTCTTTTTCATCCTGTCTGCAGCTAGTGCCATCTTGATAAGCCTATTATCAGAACTATCAAAATACAAAAAATACTTTATGGTAAAAAAAACCTCAAAATTTATAGGGTTTGTTAGACAATTAATACCCTCATTCAATTTAAACTCTCCTTTGTTATATATATTCAAGTGTCCTTATTGGCTTATTTCAATAAATATTTTACTTAAAGGCAAGGTTTTCTCTTGTTTCAGAATACAGAGATAGTTTTATCTATTTATTGCAGCAATGATTAGCACAGAAAATGTGTTATATAAAATAATTGAAGCAATATACCAATTTACTTTAATTGGCCACCACCGAAGTTTGTTTACTCAAAATTTTAACAAACAAAAAAGGTTTTCACCAAATTTCTTAAAAATATTCGCTCACTGGTTAACTGTTACAGCAGACATACTCTGACGGAGGTTTTCTCGGGGACAAACCCCAACTTATGGCCCCAGTAGCACTGATCTCTTCACGTTCCTTTCGATGTCTGCAATGGTCAAAAAGTAACTTTTTTTAATAATCAAAAATAACTTATCACAAACATGGTTTTTGAGCTAACTCTTTCAACTCTTGCTGCAATAATTCAATATCTTCTCTTGTTGTTGACAAGCAAACTGTTAGTAATGCTTCTAGGGTTCAGTAAATTGCTGGCCATCACTTTCTGGCCAGTTTAAGTTACATGACATTCTACATGAACAAAGAATGTGGCCATTGGGGCTTGGATAAGTCTATTTGACGTCAGGGTAGCCAAGCACTCTCAATGAAAAAATTAAATGTAAAGCTTTGACGTACAAGCCATATTGATTGATTGCCTTCAGGTGATTCCTCAGTTTTTCACCGCGTATTAAAATCACGTAATCAGGGGAATGTGAGCATACGCATTCCGAGAACATAGTATTGTTCTTCAATCCATAAACTAGGTAAAGAGGTACGATGGTCTTTATTTCTTGAACGAGCCAGGTGACCTATTATTTTTTTGCACAATTTTGGCGTTCAATTTATCCCCTTTAAATTGGATAAATAACAAAAAATCTTCGAAGGGGAAGAAAAGATAAAGCTAAAAGCGTGCACGAAGCCCATAACCCGAGGATGCAAATCATGACCTTGAAAGGAAGGACTCGTAAAACGTTTTGAGTCGACGTCGTTTACATTTGCGTGATTTTCCCACAAATTATCTATCAAATTGTTCCATACGCTCGAGACTTCCTTTCTTACAAGTATTTTAATTTTTACCTTAAAAACCCTTGCTGCCAGATACAGCAAAATGTATTGTGAACCGATGAAACGACACGCGTGATTATTACCAGCACAGGCATACATGGGGTAAGTTTGGCCATTATATCACCTAAACCAGCATGGTGACCTGTCTTTTTCATTATATTTTTTTCAAAACAGAGGCATTGTTGAGGAACATTTAAGGAAAGTTTTTTAAAAATTTTTCGATAACTTTTTTTTTTCTGAGGAATCTTTTTGAAAGTGAATCCACAGGGAACATGTTGTAAACGCAATTGGTACACATGTACTCCACAGACTGAATGTTGGTAAGGCATGAAGAAAGGATGCATCTTTGTGACACACGGTGTATAAAGGTATAAAAAATTGACTAATTAAAGATTTTATTCATCTAGTCATGAGCAAAGGACAGAACTCAGAGCAGGCGAGTTTTACGACGCTATCATCCCAAGCAATCTCCATGTTACTGTGAATTCGGCTGTCGTTCATTCATAAAACAAACAAATCTTTTAAGATTAGGTACGAGATAAGAAATTGAATCATCATCTTTCTGTGACGTAATGTGTTTGAAATAGTCTTTTTTCGTGTAGTAACAGTAACATGATAAAGATAATTTTAGCAGTGCTCAAACTGTAAATAGATTCATTCAAAGGCGCTCTAACTTTAGTACTACCAGATTCACACATCTATAACCCATGTTACATGTTTCTGGTTCTGCAAAATACTGAAGTAAAAGCTTTCCTGAAAAGAAAGTTAGGTCTTAAAAACGGCAAGGCTTTAACAGGTTCTAATCGATAATGGTAGTGAGTTCCATGCAACGGGTGCAGCATGAGGGAGGCACGATCCCCAAGTGTAAAGCAGTTGACTCTTGGAACAAACAGAGGACGAATAGAATAGCATAATTAGCAGTTGATGACAATAGATCTTTAATGTAGGGTGGATTAAGACTGTTTCACGAATTGGAGACCATTCTGTTTGGTATCAATTTTAGACTAAGAAATATTGCATTCTCAATTTTTTTCTAGGACGTGTATTTAGTGGAATTGAGGAAGAATTGACAACGATCAGAGTCACTTTAGGAACCTCGAGAGATGGAAAAAGAGTGGATGAATGTAGGTCAGTCTCGTAAAACAAAATGGTTGACTCTGGAATAGTCACCATTAGGAAATATGAGGAGGGTACCTTACTATGACAGAGCGGCTATGGGTTATACTATGTAATATTATGTACTTATCGATTAATTGGGCGGCACTGACCGAAAGCCAAATATTTTCCCGTCCAGCTCGACCAAACTTAATCAATAAGCATTTTATCATATGACCATTAAGTGTTGAAAATTTCAAATAAACTTTTGTTTCAACCTAAAAGGACGTACTTGTGTACCAAAAAGGGGCGTTTACTGGAAAACTAATATCTCTTGAAATATTCTGCGGTAAATATCTTTCTTTTTTGTTCATGGGGACAGGAAAGGCCCATTTTGCACGATTGGGATTTCCCACTTTAATCCCGCCCAATATAAAAAATTGGGAGCTTGTGCAGCTTCCTAATTAATTTCAATCGACGTTTTTGACGTTCACCAATCAACATTGTAAACCTATCGAATCAGCATATTTTTTTTCAATTTGTCAAGTAATTTCCCAGCGTTCGAAAACAAACAAGTCATTCTTGATTCTCATCGCAGTCGGCGAGATCTTTTTGTCATATAATAATAAATCCTTTATTGGCCAAACAGTCAGAGCGCCCTTATTTATAATTTGTTTTTTCATTAGTATTGTCGTAACCCTTAGCATGTTTATTCTTACTTAGTGGCCTCTACATTCATATGCTTTATATTCTCCAGCTAAAAGGTTAAGCTAAAGGTCAATAAATGCATATTAGCCTCGTTCTTAAGGAACTCAAATTGGCTGCGGTCCATAAAACGTACAAAAAAAAAAAAGGAAAAAAATCGGCCGATATCCAGCCATCTTAACCTTAAACAGCTCAATAACGCGTACGGAATGTGGATGAGAATGAGCTAATTAGTATAAACCTGCTAAAAGTCATGGCATTGCTAAAGCACTTACAAGTGGGGCCACTCTTTATGAATTAATGATGTCTTATATTACTTATAGCTGTATGTTCATTTGATCTGAAAAAACACACAGGTTCAGAATAATATTTTCAAATGACAGTATTTTTGTCAAAAAACCGAAAAACAAAACAAGAACAATAATTATCAGTCAACTTTGAATGTGAAGTTTTTTTTCTTCAATTGAGACTCTCAATTGAAAGTAGTTAGCGGATGAACGTGATTATGACCAAATTGTTATTTCATATTTGATCGGAATGAAACTTGCACTTTTTCAGAGCTTGAAAGCTTACCATAATGGCACAGCATAACACCTCTTTTTAAATGTCAGTCATCCCTCTTCTGGCAGTTGATTTGCTTAAACTGGCATCTGGCCTCTTAGAGTCAGTCGTCCTTTTATCGGAATAAGTCTGTTGATTTTAAAACACCTGAAACAGCAAACCCTGATTTGAACAATTCATGAGCAACCATTAGATTTCTCTTAGACAGTTTGATGTCATTATCTTGGTCAATCATTCTGTAATCGTAAATACTGTTTTTTCCTTTCTTTTTCGTTGCATTTTAGAATCTATTCTGACATCGTCAAGCAGTGCTCAAGCGATCATACAATTATTGGAAAAATTTCTACACTCTGGTGAAGATTATTTCCGAAAACCAACCTCTCAGAACAAAAAAAGCATCCGTGGCTTGGCAAGAAAAGCTAAAAATTTAAAAAGATTGGACGTGTTTAAGCACTTAAGAGAGATCACACCAAAAGGAACAACAGGTTTGTTGTTTAATGTCATTTCCTTAAATCCTTTTCAATATTTATCTATTGATTTTTGAGCAGTAATAACCGTGATGCCTTGTTAACAAAATAGTCAGAAGGCCTTTAACATCGAACTCTCTTCAATTTGTGAAATTCAAATAAGAAATTATTTGCATAAAATAACATTTTTCAGTTTGCAAGACACGTTTGGATATAACTCATGTCATGTTCAGTTGCAAAATAATGCTCCTGTTACTATTTGATTATACGTTATTGAGTTACAACGTTAGATTATGCTCTACAGATTCGTAAATTATTTGCCAAATAATTTACGAATCTGTAGAGCATAATCTAACGTTGTAACTCAACGGAAGAACGGAAGGCAAACATGGTATTTTGAAGTAACCCAGGAAAAACCAAAACAGATAATACTTTTCGTTAAACTAATTTCGCACTAACAAACTTTTTAAAGTTTTTAGTTAAGAATAGACTCGGCGGGGGGAATCATTTAAAGAAAATAAAATTCTCTCCTTGGCGTGGACATGACAGTCATCATCTATTCCTCTGTTCCCTAGACAATAAGCAGCTTCTGTTTCAACCAGTTGTAGAGCGTGAAAAACAATTGATGTTAACGAAAAAAAATGACTGCGAGAAAACTGGGCTATTGGTCTCCTCGCCCAACCAGCTAAGAAAAAAAGTACCAACTGGGTCGCGTTGCTGAGGTTAACTATCTCGAAACAACCGCACCATAGTGTAGTGAATTTATTCCGTTTCGCTCAACAACAGCTGAAAAGAGAAAGTAAGTCTCGAAAAAGAACGAAGTTAAAAGTTCTTATAAACGCAGCGAAAAAACGCGAGCCAATTCACGTGATGAAAAAATCAGCAAAGATAATGGAGGGGGGAGCGGTCCTCTTAAATTCCATAAATCGCAGTTTGAAATCATATGACTCGTGGGGTCGAGCCTTTATTACGATTCTAAGTCTGTGTGTGAAGCCATTGAGATAAAGTCAGAATTTTTTCTCAAGACGATTCTTCCTTTATTTCAGGTCCTCAGTTACCTGATAGCTTGTCCGTCAAGGAGATTCCGAAAGACAGAAAACATTATGTTTCATTATCTTTGGAAAGTGAGTAGTGTTTTGTGAAATAGTCGTCCAATAGCAGCGCCTACAGGTAATACATTTAATTTGTTCAGTGGCCTGTTGCATGTTCCAGGCCATTGACGTTCACGGTGACTACAACGTTTTCGAATCCAATTTGGATTAAGGTCACCCAGTAAATTAAGATGTGGGTGCTGCCGGCTGTGAAATTCCATTTGCGACCTAATTGCAACCGGCCGAGAAACAATCACTTTTATTGAACCAGTAAACTTGTGGAGTCACCCCGTATCGTGTAATGGCCTCTTTGCACATGTGTTCAGTCTCATGCATGTATCGCTTTTTTGTTTCTGTTCCTTAGGAAAACAATTTTCACGAGGCTTTTTGGTAATACACAGAAAACTAAATATCATCAAAAAAAACTTTTAAGCTTGGTCTTCTCGTTTAAATAAGAGATATTGAAACAGCAGAACAATTTCTGTTATCACTAGTGAGTCTGGAATGGTGTCTTTACTTTTACATCTATCCAACTCCATATGTTGAGTGCATCACATAGACGCATACTAGAAATAAAACCATATTTCAAATATGCTATTCGCTTTTCATGGGTATATCCCTGCTTGCAGTTCATAAAGTAAGTCACTCATATAACTTGATGGTCTAGCGGGCGTTAGATAATAAACAAGTCATATACCATGACGCACAATAAAGGTAAATGTTTGTTTTCTTTAATTTAGTGGCATGTTATTACAAGATGTGGGATCAAACCAAGGAACTGGATTTGAGACAAAGCGACATGAAAAAGAGGACTTCCTTAATGGATTTGATGGTCATGAAACACGACATAAAAACAGTGGGTGAACTGTACGACTATCTATGTAAAAAGGGGCTGCCTTGCCTTGCCGATAAACTTTAAATATCTTAACGCTACCAGCCCACGAGGATCTTTCGATCTCATGTTTTCTCACTCTATCCTATGAGATGATACATCAGCTCACCCTTACCACAGGGAACAGATGACTTGCTGCTGAAGTCATTTATGCTGATTTGACTATTCCTATAATTTTTCCGACTTGGTTAGTTAGGTAGGGTTGGTTACTATAAAAAGTCATGTTAGTATCGGAAGGTTATTTAGTACTGCACATAATTAAAGTTGGGATTGGGAAAACTGATTTGCTTTATCATTACACTGACATTCCGGTGAATAATCATTTGAAGCATCTGGTAGCTTCAATTTTCGACAAAATTTTCAAGACATCAACAACAAAACGGCTGAAAATTAACATATTTTGAGACCATGTAGGCAAGATTACGCCCTCCTTTGCAATCTTAATTAAAAAAATTCATGCTGAATTCATTCATAAAAGCTGCAGGTGGTTTCAGCATTGTTAAGGGTTGGAGGAAAGCTCAGAAAGTCGTAATTAGAATATGTATATACACAAATATTTCATAAAGCCTTTATCTCCAAAAAAATTTTGATCAGAATAATAGGTGTTTGCTTGGTAGATAACGATAACTTAACTTCATTTGCACTTTTTATCAGGCGCAGTTGGATAATTATACTGTGTGAGGTTTTCGACGCGCATTGAGGCTTTTAGGTCAGAATTTAGTAGAATTTGAATAAATGCATTTAAACATTGTGTTTCCGGTATCGGCAAAAAGAAAAATATCAACCCTGATTTGCTCACTCTTCATATGTTAATGTTTATATCAATGACTGTAAAATCAATAGCGATTAATTCGCATTTGTAGGAAATAAAGATTAATTCTAAAACAATTCTTCTCATGCGTTTGAGAGAGAAATTAGTCTCTACGAATGCCAGCGCATAAGGAGAAGCGAGAGGGAAAAAAAATGGATTCCACCCCTCCCCCCCCACTGTTCCATCACCTTATACGAGGGCCACACGTCAGCAAAAAGTCTGTCGTCAAATTATGCTTTCAAAATGGTTTATCATCCAATCGTAACTCTCCTTGCTCACATGAGTGGGTATATGTTGAGAAAAACCTTCATCTATGCAGGTTTTTAGAATGAACGCGCTCATTAGAGGGTCTCAATGGGGTGATGGCTTTCAGTTTACGGCTAACGCTTAAAAATTTTGACCAATTTACGGCTAACGGTTAACACCTTTCCATTGTTTCCACCAGACATATTTTTTACGGTTAACTTTTTTACGACTAATACGGTCAAAATTTGTCAATTTTTACGCCTAACGACTTAATTTTTTGGCCGTTTTACGGCTAACAGTTAACCCCATTGAGAACCTCTTATTAAGTTGAAACTTAAACATGTTTTAAACAACTTAAACAACGTTTTCTTTCCACTTCAATGCAATTGGTTGGGTTACTAGTTGGAATTCTTATGAGCGAAAGAGCAATTTCCTCAACTCTTACAAAATAAACAAGGCAGATCCAGTGTTTCAATGATGCTGGTTAATTTTTTTTTACCTCAACGTTTAGTTGGCTCTGCTATAGTTGTATATATCACCGGGTTGAATGTGTCGATATCTCGCTCAAAATTAAAGAAAAATGGGCCACAATTAGCCTGCCGGACCTAGCGCCCGCTTTCCTGAGTTTCCGACGGCCAAAGTTTAACTTATACACACAGGTTTTGGAAGATTAGAGATTTATCTTCAATTTGCAGCAATAAGAAGGGAGTTTGAGAACGAGAAGGCCTGTCCCTATGCACATGAAAATGCACAAAATTCGAAGAGCGATTTTCTGAAAACTCCAACTACCTGCCGAGGGAAGAGTAATTTTTACTCTTACAGAATCTGTTTCGCTTTTTAAACATCGGTCAACATGAACATGAACCACCATCCTTTTGAGTTTGAAAGTTGTCATTCGTAGATGTACTTAAAAATGGAACGTTCCAAGCGGGAAAGCCATTGTCCTGAGTCCAGACAGGAATAAAAATACGCCTATCGAACTAAACAATGCCAACATGGAAACACTAGCACTTATAGTTTTTTCCACTTTTGCGGCGAGGTTAAATATTTGATGCATCAGCTGGCATTAACGGCCGTAACGAAAATTTTAGAGACAGGAGCTCTTTCTGGAGCTTTCTGAAGCCGTATACATATATGTTTACATGGACAGAAATTTGTTAACGAGCTCTTGAATTATTCTCGGTTAAATCTTTGAAAGGCAAAATCTCGCTATAAATGGGTGTGTTCTCGAAATTCGTAATACTTCAGCTCCGGAAAAAAATATATACATATATATACATTGTACTAGCCTTTGACAGAAAGTCGGACGCAAAAGGCAATTAAATGTAATTTTTTAAAACTTTTTCTCTTTTGAATATTGTTTAATGATTGTCCTCTGACAGGAAATACACGGCGTCTTTTTTAGTTTTTTTCTTTTTTGGTTATTTAATTCGGTAACCTCTGCTGTAACTGCATGTAATTAAGTTATAATTAATTATGTCTTTAAGAAAACTTGAGATAATACCTGGATTTCATTTCAGTTTCCTCTTTAGTTTAAAAGTTGAGTCGAAAAGTTTAAAAGTTTTAGATGGTGTTTCCTCGTGTTTGCAAATAATTGAATTTACTGGAAGGTGGAGTTGTTGCATCATGTTAACATGAAACGCAACAATAAATCTTATTGATAGGTAGAAAGATTTTCATTTGACCATCTACTGGCAACTCTTTGTGTTATGTTTCGACCCAACCATTTTCCACAACTTGTGAACACTATTACAAAATAATTAGTCAGGGAAATGGAAAATTTGTCACATATACCCCATGTAACAAGCTAACAGGATTTAGGAAGGTGTATGTGGGAATAGGCTCTCTTGTCAGTATCATTAATTTGCTAATCCCTCCTGTTGGCAATGTTTTGAAGAAGTTGGGCTGTCGGGGCAAAAGGAACTGAGAATTTTAGTAGGAGTGACTTTTTTCAACCCGGAAAACTATCATCGTGAAAGCCATACTTGTGCCTAGTAACTCATTCTTATTCTGATAAACTAGTTTTAAGAAGGATAAAACATTTTTTTTCATAAATTTTATGCATAGTCTGTGCACAAAACTTTAATTTGAGTATACTTTTATAGCCAAATACCAATCCCTACCCATAATAAAATGTTAGGAGGATCAGAGGAAAAACTAATGTGCCATACATCTGCTATATTTCATGTAATTATTTTAATAACATGAATATTAACTGATACTAGGAGATCTAATAATATTCAAAAGAAAATAAAATTTGTACAAATAAGACCAGATTTGTACTGATCATGCACAAAAGAACTATCTGTGGTAAGAGGGCAGGCTTTCCTATCTGCAATTAAAGAAATGCTGAGGTTATCATCTTCCACAAGCTCAGTGGAAAATGAGTGATTGAGACTGATAGTGACTATGTTATTTGAATAAATATCCAGAGGAGGATAAAAAGTAAGATCAGGTCTGCACAACTCTCTCATTTTAATTTTTTAACCCATAAACCTAAGGAATTTATATTCTTGCTTTGTGCATTATGTGGACACCAATTAATTTGACATTCATGCCTCAAAATACACAAAATGTTGTCTTCATCTATGTGCCCTAAACATTACAGGGGAGGAGGCAGGTCAAAGTAAAAACATGAATTAAAATTGGAGGGCCCTCATTAATTTCAATCCTATAATTAAAGGAAGCTCTTGCCTTTTCCAGATTCCCACCCTTTAAAACTCACATATCTTGTGACCAATTCCTTATATCAATGTCAAGTTTGGGTATGACCATTGGGAAGAAACACCATAAATGAAAGCTTGAGCAAGAGTATTTAATGCAATCAAAATAATAATATATATCCCATGTTACAATGTGGTAACTTACACAGCAAAATTATATCATCACACAATTCCGACCAAAAGAAGTTAGGTTATTGACTAACCTGCTTCAGCTTTTGGGGGCTTAAGGTATAGAAAAATATGCAAATATGGTAAGCAGTTACAATAAATATAAAGTTGGCAGTTTGAAAACTAAAAGATTTACATTACAATCATCAGACCCTTCGCATCCTAGCAAAAAAAGGGTCAATTACCACCATAACTTCTCCAAATGTTCACGCTTATCTCATAGCATATGACTGTACAGGTCATGTGGAAGGTTCCTGCATGGGGACTGACATTTCAATTACCTCAGCAAACTGTAATCATCAGAACTGCAACCTAAGGTGTATTTGCCAAGTGCTCAAGTTTCCAAATTAGTCATGTTGTTGCAGTGGAGTTCACTCCTTTTTTGAGGCTATTGTCAGCTTGATCATTCTGTTAAGTGTGAAAACATCAAATGTTTATCACATACTCAAATAATTACTTGAATCAAAAGTTATAACTCTTTTAAAAACCTGTGTCCTTTAATTGTGCTCCAGAAATAGTAAATGGTATCGGGAAAGGAAGAAAGTTAAATGAAACTTTGTTGTGAATGTTAATTATGACAGCAACAAAAACATCTGTGAATAACAATTACCTTTCCATGTAAACAAACCACTATGAAGCATAATATGAATAAATGTAATCCCACCCAGTTTGAATGTAGAATCCAAAATCTAATTAACTTACTGGTGAATAGGAAAAAGCTAAATGTGTTTTTCCTGCTTCTGTCATTTTAAATATCACAAATCAATCAGGGCACCACTTCAGTGTGATTTACTTCATTGATGTGTACTTTTCCCTAAGGAAATCTATTTTTAGCATTTATCTTTCACCAGCTGACATCTGAGAAGAATTAAGTCTACACTGACTGGTAATTTAACACATTGTAGGCAATTACCTTACAACTGGTTAAATTTTATTTGATAAAAAACATGAAGGGCATTAGAAGGAACTTAGCTATCACAATTCAAGTTTCCCTTTTCAAGTATTCTGTGAAGTTTTTTCTATTGTATGGTGAAGTGTACAGCTTCCCTCATTTCACTGTCTTCTGTTCATTTGTTTGTTAGCTTTCCTAACAGCCATAACTACTGTTGTCAACAAATGCAAGGAGCATATAAAATGTGTACAGTCATGAACACTGTAATCCCTGTGTGTGACTAGCATCTAGTTTCTCCTTTCAAAATCACCCCTGAATCAATCATTGAGGTCATGAGAATAATGGAAATGATAATCAACTGAAGAACCTCTTGATTATTAAACAAATTCTCCCTGCCAGCACATTAGGAAATGTATAGAGAACAGTATGGAGAATATGCATACTGATGTTAGGGTGTAAAGGGCTACAGACATCATGCAATCAGTTTTATATATGTAGAGTATTGCTTGAATATATGATTAGGCTAAGTGCAAGTGCCTAATAAACACCTTGCAAACAGCTTATTTCTAGCAGCTTTGAAAGGTTCTGTATCCCCTCTTTCAAAGAAAAGTATTTCCCATGAAAATTTAAACATTAAAGACATATTCACTACAAACAACAGGGTTTTTCCATTGGAAGTGTTTCATACTGTTATGATATGCAAAAAACCTTCCGGACATCAACGTTTGCTTTTTTTCTTTCTTATGTAACTCTCAACTGTTATGTAACTTTCTGGACTGGTTATGTAATCACTTCGGACTACTCACGTGTCAGTTCTCGGGTTACACGACAAAAAACATTTTATAATAAGAGAGTCGCTATCGCGTTGTTGTTGTTTCGTTAGCTCTAAAGGTAACCTGCCTCTCAAGTAATTAAAGTTTGTGTTCAAAGAAGCTTACTGGACTCAGACTCAC